TTGCAGTGGGCAGAATGGAGAGGGAAGCAAGTTCTGGCAGATAAATGGTATCTTGTGAAGAGTTCTCTCTTCGACTTCCCTTAACCTGAAGTTCATAATTTCAGCTAGGTCCAGAACTCCAAACGCCACCCAGCAGAATTCCTCCAAAATTGAATTAAGAAAATTTACGCACAAAAGTGTAAAAGAGGACTTTTTCAGGGTCATGTTTAAAACCATTGACCAATATGATTGAAGTTGGATGCAGGCATGCAGCAGGAAAGTCGGAGACAGAACTAGGTAAGTACTACTTTAATGTGTGGTAGGGATTTGATATGTCTCACACTATTTTTTTCCAGTGATTAAATAAAGTACCATATGGCACAAATGGATTTGTAGCCAAACCCTATATAAGGTTGTAAATGGATGGAAAGGATAGAAGGATTTCTGAAGATCAGTTTATCCAGAATTCCAGATAAGAATAAAGTTGATGTTTACACCTTAAATGTCCTTACAAGTTACAATTGGAGTTTTCTGATCATATCCACTTACTTGGAGACTCTGATAGCTTCCCTTCAACCATATTCAGGGGTCTGGAAAGCTTTATTAGTAACATAAATTTTTTTGTTTACGAAAGAAACCTTTTTTTGCTTGAAACTTGCTTATATATGGCAATCATCAAATTGAAGACTTCTAATTTTAAGGACAATGCAAAATAGCCTTTGGCTGCACCAATCAACTGAGCATAGGACTGCTTGAGACAGTCTTTTTTTTTTTTTTTTTTTTTATTTTTAATATAAACCATATGCACAAGGTCAGATATACTTCGTAGTATTTTGTCAGCATGTCACGGACAGGAATGAAGGGAAAAGAAAGGAAAGAATTTAAGAATAAAGTGCGGGAAAAGAAATTAAGCAATATAAAAGAGAGCTCATGCTGCTACAAGTGACCTTGACCTAGTTAGCAACTGAATCCTAATCAATTAACAAAGCCTTTCAAAATGTGAGGTCAAGGGAGAAGTCAGAAAACACACCTGTCCATATTGGAAAATCCGTTTCAAAGCTTCATCAAGGTGTTGTTCATCCCCATACCGAAATCTGGTAACATCAGTCTTCACCTAGAATATTTTGGCAGGGTCAGTTCATCCAATATCACTCAGGGAAGAGCAGCTAAATTAGCCATTAAGAGGCAATTGCATAGATCTACAGAGAAAATTGGTTGTCACAGGCTCACAGCACGAGGTGGATAAAAATTGCAAAGGAAAAACTGTAGCTATGGGAAGTTTCCGCTCAGCTGAAACTAACCTGCTTAAGAACTGGAGTGGAACACTTTTCCCGCACCATTTGAGCATCAGAATAAGTCACACAAGGCACAGGTTTAAGTTCTGCATACTGCAAGAAGTGAATGACAAACATCACAATTAAAAATAAAAATAAAAATTGAGCATACACATGATTTTCCAAGTTAGTTGAGTAGTTAGGGGCTGAGTAAAGATAATCATGTCAAATGGTCCACTGAAACATTCAAAACTTGCAACTCTAATGATGTAACTACAACGCAATGCTAGATCTCAATCACATATCTACTCCCTTGGCAATTTTTCAATATGTTTTGGTATAGAAGTCCAAACTATAGCAGTTATTACAACCAAAGAAAGTAGCTGAGTAAGGCAGAATATTTCACCTTGAGAGCCATGCCAATAACTGCAACAGGGAAACCATATGTCAACATTAACGCCGACCATTCTGATCCCGGAAGAATATTAAAGTAGGCACCAAAACCATACCTGCACGAAGAAAACATGCTAAGAAATATAATTCATTATGTTTGGACAGAGATTAAATAAATTCGGCCTCCAAAGCGCTCACGCAAGTAATGTGACTCCACTTCCAAGTCCCACGACACCAAAGGAAATCTGAAAAGTAAAAGGTAATGCCATTTAGATTATGTGGAGAAAATCCTCTAATAGGATACATGGTAAACAACATATAGTAAATTAGTAATTCGGCACTTAATGACTGCAAAGGCTCAAATACATTACTGATTTTGGGCATTCAAAATAATAGAGCATACAAAGTATATAATTATAATAATAATAATAAAAAAAAAAAAACTGGGCTAGAAGTGAAATTCATAAAGTATTTCCATTGTATGAGGGTAACTGATTTCACCGACTTGTTACCCTCTTCAAACCGTTGATAACACATCATGTTACCCTCTGCAATTTCTACCTTGCTGTCTCTCTTCCATTCCTATTCATTGTAAAACTCAAACAATCCATAAAACTAGTGGTTATCATGACGCTTTCCATCTCTCAATTGATTCCATTTCATTCCATTCCCTCCAACCATGCCAAACTCAACAATAATATATCCCTACATCGTCCGATCAACCTAACACTCCAATAACATCAACATTGAACTCAATTACTCGAGTAATTTTAAGTATACACTATATTCCAATGATTCACAGTTCAGTTCTCCTATTAATGGAAACATCTCCACTTATCCACAATTTAACTCTTAATATCATAATTCCTCCTTTAACACTCTCAACAATCACAATAACCGAGCTGTAAGTAATTCAATTAGCATAAATTAGCATCACAGTACAAAATTAGAAAGATGATCATTTAAAATGGGAATAATCAAACAATTTAGGAATAACAGTTAATTAAAAATCAACCCTAATTCTTCCAATATAATACGAAGTATTCAAATTCGCATCACTAATAATACATCAAAATTTCAACAGTCCAAACACATTAAATTCAAATACAACAACAAATTAGGTAAAATGGACTAAAAAAATATTAACAATTAAAATACGAAAATAAAACCTTGGAGAGAGAAAATTGATCATCAGGAACGATTGATTTGTCGGCGGCGGCGGCGGCGGAGGGTGAAGAAGAAGAAGTAGACGAAGAATCAACGGCTTGAGCAACGAGGACAAAACGGCGTCGTTTAGAGTCGGAATTGAGTCTATCTTTGAGTAAGAGAGTGGAAGAAGAAAGAGGAGGAAGCTGATGATGCTGACTAGGAGAGAGAAAATTGCTCCGGTGAACGTAGAGCGGAGCAGCCGCCATTGACGCTGCTCTTAGAGGCATTCTGGTTTTTTTTTAGAGTAACAGAATTTGCGTTGTAAACTTGTAATGTAAGATGAGGAGAGAGAAAATAAATTAGCTAACGGCTCTCAACCGCCAATATATGATTACTTGTCACTCGGAATTCTACTCATTTTTTAGGGTTTTTTTTTAAAAAAAAATAAAAAAAATAAATGGGCTTTTTTTGAAAGTCCATTTTGTAGGATTTTTGGGTTATGGAAGTTGGGGGAGTCCAGCGCCAGAGAGCTGTGGGTCGTGCTTACTGCTTAAGTGCCTAGACCGTGTCATTGTAGAAAAAGTACGATAAGGCATGACCATGACAAAAATGTCAATATTAATGAAAGTTGACCGAGGCGCACAAGCTTAACATGACCTAATACGATGGTTATGTGAGCTTAGGTTGTGTCTGAGTTGTCATTTGAAAGACAATACATCATATAGCTAGTGATGGGCCTAATCTAGCCAAATTTCATGCATGATAGTGTAACCTAGAGCCATCTTAATTAGCTGATTGAAATGGAGAGCCCCTTCATATCTTGAATATCGGTTTGTTTAGGCATATCTTAAAAGCAGTCAACATTCTGTCTTAAGTTGGATTACTTGTGTATTGTACATTAGCATTTTATACTTTTATAGGTTTATTTATTTTTATAGTCACTTCATTGTAAATGGCTGCATTTTGTATTCATCCCCAAATTTAATTACAATAGAGGTTTTTCAATCCAATAGGTAGCATGGACTTGAATAATAACCATTTAATATGTGTTGTTTCAAAGTGAGTTATTTTACAATAACTAACAAAAAAATTCAATGTAGTTTAGAAAAATGATCATCATACCTAAAACCTTCATTGTTTTCACACTAGGATTTCTAATATTAGCTCGATCAACACACACATAAGCAAAATGAGTACTAATCGAAATACAATCATAATCAACCCCGTTATGAGTCACAAGCAAGTCCACTCTCTAGGTGGCTAGAAATAGAACATATATTCTCCACTAGAACAAGTAGACAAACTTGGTCCCAAAACAATTCCTACATGACAAATTAGCTAACATAGAAGTAGCAATTCATGTTCTTCCTTTTGATGATACAAAAAGTAGCACCATCAACTAGGGCTAAAAAGAAACCTAAAGCTGTTAAAAGGCAAACAAATATAGGGATCAATCAATAATAAGCAAGACCTAAAACAAGACAAATACAAAAACATAGGCTATAATATAATAACAAATCCATAAAAGCATAACCATAAGAATATTTGATGAAGAAAGCATAACATCTTTTTGCAATCACTAGTCTCTACATCAACAAACCAAATGTAACAGTGAAGCACGTGAAGACCTCAAATAATAGTATATGAGTATATTCCAACTTAGTAAACAACAAAAAGTGTTACATCTTTCGTTACAACAGACATACACTCATATAATTCCCCATTAATTTTTTTTTTTATGCTTTCTTTCCTTATTCTTGCTCCAATTTATCTGACCAACCTACCAAACTTTCTCAGCCTCAAAAACCGTAGAAAAATAGAGGTATATTACTATATTACATTCATTAATTTCCTCTAGGAACCATTTGTCCTGATTTATAAGTATTCCAATTATTTCAAGAAAAAACACTCGTAAGTTTTTATAAGGACTCTCCATAAATTTCTAATAAGTTTATACGTAGTATTAAAGTTAAAAAGAACATTTCAAGTTTAATATAAACTAAAACAAGTTAATAAGGTTCAAAAATAGAATATTAATGAATAAAACACATTTTTAGTCCTTCAATCAGAGTTAAGAATTAAGCATGCATGTATATATTAAATTAAACAATCAATTATACTCAGTATTATATAAATTATTCTTATTAATTAGTTTTATTTTATTTTTTATTATCAAGATCCAAATAGGAATTTGGGAGATTAGACTCATTACAAGTAACCAAGTGGATTCATTTGAATACGTAATAATATACAATGTAGCTCGAACTCGAGCTAGATTTGGTCTTACCACAAAATAAGACATGATTTATATATTCAAATATAAAGAAATTAATTAATCGAGGCTTGAATTTGTCTCTCTCTTCTCTTATTATTGATCCAAAAGCAGCTCCATGATGATGAAAATTGTAAACATCCATTAAAAGGGCAGCAGTAATAGCAGAATTTTTGCCCTTTTTCATTCTTTTTTGAATTTTTATTCTTTAATTGCCCGCTTTCTTTTGTTCTTCTTTTTGTTTCTTCTCCCTCTCTTGTTACTTTCACTTCCACCTGCATCGTGCACTTCAATAGTACAGTAAAAAAAAATAATTAGTTTCGTGCTTTTACTTTTTCTGTGCATCTTTCATATGTTACAGGCTTTTTAATGTTATTTCAAACAAATATAGTAAAAATGTAACGTTAAATATATAGATTCTTTTTAGATTATTCATTCGAATGTTTCATAAAAGTAGCCTATGATAATTGAATTAGAGAAAGGAACCCATGAATTATGAAAGTACTTTAGGGATGCTATTTACGTGTAATTTCTATCATGCATTCATGCATGCATGTGATCGATGTGCAAAAAGCCATAAATATAATACGAAATATAAGTATATGTACTACTAATAAATTTGAACCATTTTTTTTTCTTCATATATTAGTATAATACGTAATAAACATTAATTTTAAGAATCATATGTATTTGCTAAAATTTTGACCTCATAAAACATCATACATTTCATATGTTGATGAAAGACGAGAGAGATATTCACTTTACAATTATCAAGCCACTTTCCTTTTTGTTATATGGTACGTACTACGGAATAAGTTACTAGAGATCGAAGTTGAAAAGAAAATAATTCAATCAGTGTGAAACCCTCTTTTAAAGGCTCATCATATATTTGTGGGTGTTACTACCAAATCTTTTTCAAAATTGGAGAAAATGGTCCCTCCATTTTCAACAAGAAAATTAGAATACCCACTATATTATAGAGAGTGGTACCAGTAGAAAATTTAACTTCTAGTCATTGTAACCACTTATTTAAATGAGTATTTCTTATCATTACATGATGAAAAAATTTGATTTTCTTTCTTTTAATTTTCAAATTTATTATCGTACATGATTATTTGAAATAAGTGTAGCACTAGCACCACAATTCTTATATATATTCGTGCAAAACCATAGATACAATCAAGTCTTGTTTCACCTAGCTAGTGGTAAAAGTTTGGCCAATGAAATTTTACCGTTTGCTTCCCTCAATTCCTCCTCTTAGATTGGGAATTTGTGAGGTCGTGAGGGATAGTAATGAACAAAGCCATTCATCGTGAGGGATAGTAACGAACAGAGCCATTCATCTTACCTACCAACCAAATAAAATTTAGCCGCGGCATGGGATATAAACGTCATGTCTGCTGTTACCCTCGGCCTTGTAATAAGTTGGCCAAAGTATGTAGCTAGGGACCAAACATTATTAGGTCCCCATCCTATTAAGAACACTGTCCCAATGAACTACAGTATCATGAAACACACGCACCCTAAATTTGTTCATCTTGAGAAATACACCTTGAGATTTAAGGACACTTCTCCATCAAAGTATTGGCATACTGGCATGCGAGAATAATCAAGTGATTTCCTATGTCTGCCTCTTCATTTATGCCAGTTTGTTTGAGGTGCAAATTTGAAATATAATAATTATATTGCTCAACATTTTATTACTCCGTACTATAATTAGACATGCAAGCTGTTTATTTTTGTCACCAAATGTCAAAGGATATTATATTAAGTACTCAAAAGTCAAACTATCACCTTATAATACTTTTCAAATAATAATAAAAAAAAAAAATACACCTTTGATGTACTATAGTAAATTGCCTTAATATTTTATTTGTGAATGAAACTTGTGGTATTGTTAATTTGTTAAATAATATAAGTTACGCTGTAGATGAACAGATAGATCAGATGCTGGTACGCCTTAATTAAAAAGGAAAATAAGTGGCAACTAAAAATGAAAATAAATAAACAAGGTTATTACTACCTCTGTTCGTAAATAATACGTACCTCTTCCGCGGTATTCAACTTATTAATGCTAGAGCTTGAATTCTGAGTATCTTGATCTCCATCTTCAGTCTCTTCAGAATGCTTCATCTTTCTATCTTTAATTGAAGGAGTTGATGTTGGACTTGGACTACTTGAACTCCCCTCTGGAGGTGTACTTTGTGTTCCAACATCCCTTGTTCTACTTCCCATTAAATTCTTCTCTTCTTCATTAATTCAAAAACATAACTAAAATTAATTTAATAAAAACTTAGGAAATCTTTTAAGAAGAACATTATGAAAGATATAATTACCTTGTTTAAGAGATGGAATTTTAATAAGTTGTTCTTTAATCACAGGAGGTGGCTTAGAAGGGTGGTTGTTGTTGTTTGTTGTTCTTCTTGGTTGCATAGAATAAACAAGGGGTGCAGACATGGTGACTCTACTAGCCATGTTGCTTCGAAACGACCGCGCGCTTAATGTTTTAGCTGATAAACACTCCATTGGAACTTCTCCTGATAAAGGATTACATATAAACCTCTCTGCATCATTCCATTTTGAGTTTAATGCAAACCCTTCTGGTGATAAACATTCCCATACATACCCTGATTTTGCTTGTAACGCTTTTATCACCAAATAAAATTAAAATAAATCGTTAGTATGTACAAATTGAAATTAAATGTAAATAATGTATGTGATGGAAATGAAAATTATTAGATTAATGTACCTTTGAGAGCCGTGGTGAACGAGTATGTTGAAGGGTCAATTTCATCTGTGTATAGTGTACAAATTCAAAATTATGATTAGACGGTCCAATAATATATATTGTGTTAGATAGATAGTATAAACGACTCAACCTTAATGAGAGTCGTTTTAATAACGTGTTACATGAATATTAGTATGTATGTACCTTTCAAATTGTAGCCGGGGGAGGAGGCAGTGCTAGAGACGGTAAAATTGGACTTGAACGATGTCCTCGACTCCTCTCTAAAACTTCTAATATAAGAGGCGGAATACCTCCTCGAGCTCGTGTTTTCTCGACTAATTCGAGCTCGAAGGTGCCATTCTCTTAGATTGAACTCTTGCTCTTTAGGGTGTTGGGTGCCTAGAGGGGAGCCTTCCATGTATTGGGTTCAATTTACTTTGTTTTTGTGTTAGTTTCTTTGTATGTGAGAAATGACTTGAAGTAGAAAAATGAGAGAAAATGTAGTGTATGTTTTTTGTTATGAGAATTCTCCTCCTTTTAACTATTGTCCAGCTACTAAAAGGCGGTATTTTTCCTATGGGAAATTGAGTTCAAAAAATATTGGTCCTGAAAGTGACATTTATGAGAATGATATTTAATTATTTATTGATGTATATGTACTTCGTAAATATAGTAATCTCTTCATTTTATTTTTTATTTTTTTTATCTATTGTTTCATTTTTTTACCGTGCATGTTTGTCAATGTATAATTTTGATCATTAATATAATTAATCATTAATTAATAATATTATTATAAAAAGTCGATAATTTTGAAGTTATATAGGAGTATTAATTAAGACGAATTTACAAGATTCAACATGACTATGTTGTTATATATAACAAATGAGATCAAAGAGAAGCTAAGTAGATACGTAAATAGTGTCAAAAATCAATACGAGTATTGTACATAGTAACGCTTCACCCACATCGCCCACATCGGCCACGGCCCACATGCAATATTGTTGTCATGCAATGAGCCGGCCTAAAGTTGTAAGTTTGTAACACAATATACTCGGTTTTGTTACGGATATGCCTATATTCATACATAGACATCTAGTAGCAGCTAGCTTGTAATAATTCAGATTTGTCTATTTGGCTTTGTTTCTTAGAAATTTAGAATAACATAATACAAGTAACAGAGTTGCATTCAATCTAATAACTATTCAAGTGTCAAATTTATATCTTATCTTGTTATAAGGTGGGCTATTGTGTTACCTGCCCTTCTAACATGATAAGAAATAAAAGCATTAAAACACGTATATAACATGCTAATAGCAATTAGTTTAATTTATTACTTCTCCATAACAATTTTGACTATTTGTCGACTAAATATGTGATGAGGAGTGTGAGCTATATCGGATAAGAATTCATCATTATTTCACTAAATTTAAAAATAATGTAGGAAGTACTAATAATTTAATATCAATGGCATGTATATAGTACATGATCATATTCTGTATAAATATTTTGGCCAATACAACGTCATGAAAAGATTGTTGTAGACATGATTTGATATTATATATTGTCGTGATGGTTTATTTGATCTAATAACTATACTATACCTTTAATTACTATCATGCATGAACAAACTTGCACGTACAACATGTTCATTCTTTGTGTAAGCAAACAAAAAATGAACCTTCTCAAACTTAAATTATTATAATGTACTAGAACTTGTACATTACGAATAATTATCTTGGTTAATTAAATACACGAAAAGATTTGAAATTTAAGCTGGTGGAGCCTTGTTTTCTAGATAGATTGATGATAACTCTTTTTCTGTTATCAATTTTAGGTGAAGCAATAATATTCACCAACTGTTGTAAATTTATAATGCATTAGTTAGGAATAAATAGCATTAAAAAAAGTAACGTCAAATGATTATAACATCTCATATATTCGTATCTTATTAAAGGGATGTGTATAGTGTTGCGCGAATAGAGAGTTCGTACTAATCATGTTATATTACGCAGACGTGGACCAACCCTTATGTGTTATATCCACACATAATAAGACATAAAATTAGGATTTAAGCTACAAAATTTTTGAGGTGAGTATTGATGAATTGAAAAGCATCTTTAACTAGTATTTGATATGGTAGGTTATTCATTTATTTTTAAGAAAATTGATATATAGTCCTGGATGTAAACTCTCATACTTTTATGGTATATATACGAACTTGCAATAATCTTATGACACGTAATGTTAGAAATGGAATATAGCACATTTACGAATAACTTGATAAGTATCACTTATTTAAAAATTCAATAACCTGACTTATTACTCTTAGGAGTTGTCAGATAGACCCAAATAAACTTGCTAGCTACGCTTACAATTTTTTTTGGCCTAAACTTATTGATAAAGTATACATTTTTGAAACTTCAACTATAAACTTAACATTATATCAGAACCAACGTGACAAAAAAATCACAATAGAAAAGCTATATATTGTCGATCTTCACTAAACATAGTGTACAATCTTTAATTCATGCAGCTAACCCTATTCTACCATGATTTAAAGTTTGAGCTTTGGCATTGTTGTTGTTTCATTAGCTTAATTAGTGATATTTTATAAAAATATTTTATCTCTTCTCAGTTGGATAAGAGGAAATTTAATTTATGTACTTGATAAGCTTAGAGCATGACACGTGGAAAATAAAATTTAAAATATAAGCTCCAATGAAATTATCCCTTGCAATATGTATCATCAGCATTATTTAATGTAGGGTAGTTTTCAAAATCATGGGAAAAAAAGTTGTAAAATTTGCCAAAAATATATAACGTGGCCAAGTGGATGCATCATGTGATTGTCATCATCATGATAGTGAAATATGGGTGGTTGATACTCGATTATGTTGGAGGATCAAAAGATCTGGACCGTTGAATTTTGTTCTATGTATTTTTTAATTTACATGCAATGTAAATTTCAGTGAAATTAAAAACTTTACTCTAAAAAAGAAATAAAGGAGGGATTTCTGAAATTTATGTACCGCAGGCTATTTTACTGCCTTCATTCAATCTGGAAAGGCTTTTTCTATGATTTCTGACTCACCTATTATTATTGATTATTTTGATATGATTTTCATGCATCCATGCATGCAAGATTTATCATTTGTCATTTATCATAAGTACTAATTAATCTAGTCTTAATAATGAATCATTTGATCAAATGGAGGGTTAATTGTAACAGGTAATTAAACGTGTGTATGTATGATATAACGAAACACATATACTATTTGAGAAAATGAAGGTCTAAAGATGGAGCAAGCACCAATTTATAACCTTGATAAACAAATTTTAAATGGCATTTTCGTAAATAAGTTGCATTGAAAATTGTGTTTTGATTAAAAAAATATATTTTTACTATTTGTGGGCCACTATGACAAGTTGGACAGATTTTTGGAGTTAACACCGTTGACTCACCGTTTGCTACTATTCATCTTTTTCTTCCTCCCACCTTCTTCTTCTTCATGTTTATCTTCTTCCTCTTGTTCATATTTTTTCTTCCCACCCACCTTAATCTTCTTCCTCCAATCTCTGCTCACTTTCACCTCCTCTTCCAAGTCCGTTTGACACCATTTTCCCGGGGAAATTAAACGAAAACTCTATTAACAAAAAGAGAAATTAATGACATGGTTAACCCTAAAGGATAGCTGAGTTTTCCTTCCTCTATTAAATTTGACTTCGAACCACCATTTTCGACGACAAAGCTGCCGGAATTAAACGAAAACCAAAATAACAAAATGAAAATAACGAACATGGTTAACCCTAGAGGGTAGGTAAGTTTTTCTTCCTCCATAGATGTCACTTATTCGAGTCATAGTGAGAATGGTATTTTCCACCATCGAAATTGAAGGTTGGATGAGGAGAGAGAAAACAACAAAAGATTGAAGGAGGAGAGAGAAAATAAAAAAATACCAAAAGGTTGACCAACAGTTAACCAAAAATTAGATGTAGTTTACATAAACACCCTTTGATAAACAATTTTTATTTATCACGGGTATAAACTTGTTTTTTCTCCTTAAGATGTGGTGTATGACATTATATGTATAGCACTAAAAAGATCTTGTGGCATGTCATATGTGGATGAATTTGTTAATCTATAATTTCACGTGTGATAAGCTACTGATAACTATATACCCTAATATAATTGAGTTATTTTCACAATATCACCTAAATATTTCAAATTTTGTAAAGAAAACTAAGGAACCGATTTTGCTACTTCACTATCATATTCCTATACTATTAGTGATCCCAAGATTATGTAGAAAAGGTTTTTTTGGGGGTATTTGCTAATAAAAGAGAGATTATGATTTTCAAAAATATAGAAGACCCATTAATAATGTGGCTTTTACACGTCCTATGCAAAAAATTGAATATTCTTTACTATAAAATTACAAAAACACATAATAGTTATCATCACGAACTCATAAACTAATATTTAATTAATAAGCATCGATCACAAAAAACATATATTTCGTATAACATTATTAACAAATAACAAGGAAGAATGTATGGGTATCATGACAATTTAGGTTTCATGAAATCATACAAATGTTCCAAAGAAGACACAACACATTCCAAATATAGACAAATTTAATCATAAAATCTATTTGCAATAAAAAAAAGGGAAAAACAAGTTATTTTTTAATTGAATAAGGCTTATTATAATTTTAAATTTTTTGATAATTGACGAATGTATTCCACACATTTTAATAAAAGTTTCAGTTATAATCTTAATTAATTGGTATTAACAAATACCCCATGATTTTTTTATTATAATTTTTTTTCAATAAACCCATTACTAATCTAATTTCTAATTTATGATTCATATATAGTTCAAATAAAAAAAAGAAATTCCCGCTTAATTTTTTCTAGGTTAGGATGATGAAGGATGAGATCGAGAGAGAAAAAGATCGGGAAAGAATAAGAAGAATGAATAATATCCACACAAGAACAAGTAGTATAAGAAATTGGTCCATCCCTAAATGAAAAAGATGTCTAATGGAGAGGCTCAATCAAATAGGCCATTAGATGGACCCAATAATCACCATATCCAGATTGGAGTTAAGTTATTAAGAGTGACATCCTTTTCATTACCAAGGATTCTCATGCAATCTGTCCCCATTACCTATCTTTATGGATTACTATTCTAGATTCCACCCTATTGTTTATGGAGGGGACCTCTTTATAAGCAATGTGTAATTCAAGGCCTTCCCCTTTGAACAAAAACTTGCTATTACAAATCCAGCATCATTTCTCTATCTAGATATGACCCATTACTAGTCGCTAATGTCTCGATCTTCTCGTGTTTTTTTTTTTCAAACTTTTATTCAATCGATTATCTTGCTATACTCTTCTTTTTTTAGCAGACGATTTTTTATGATGATTCATGTTAGCTGATCCCAACATTTTAGGATTAAATCTTTGTTGTTATACTCAACGTGTATGCTATAAACTCGAGCATATCTTTAATCAATGTTGAAGTTTTTTTAATACACCAATCTTGGCTGTCACTATGTTTTCCCATGAAAATCACACGTACAACTTAAGCGACTACACATGTAAAAGGCACTAGGAAAAAAATTGTAGATGTCAACCAAGTCAGTTAAAATCTAAGAGGTTGTCAACCAAGATCTAGAATCGATTCTCGAATAACATCATAGACAACAGAGTACTATGCTACTCACATTTCATAAATG